GAAGCAAAAATAATATAAAAACAGGGAGGGGGACAAAACAGAAGAGACTCATAAATATGGAGAACAAACAGAGGGTTACTAGAGGAGGTGTGGGAGGGGGGATGGGCTAAATGGGTAAGGGGCACTAAGGAATCTACTCCTGAAATCATTGTTGCACTATATGCTAACTAATTTGGATGTAAATTTAAAAAATAAAATAAAAATAAAAGACCTAAAAAAAAAAAAAAAATCATGCTTAGTGAATTTTCAGGATACAATTATCCCCAGGTAGGAAATAAATATGGTTTCAATGGTGACTCATCAAAAAAAAAAATGGTTGATTTCATTGTACCTTATTTGGGTAAAAGAATTGGTTTGAAAGGGTGGAAAGTATTACTTTCTAAAAAAAAATTTTTTTTTAAATTATGAATTTTAATAGATGACCATCCACAGAGCTGGAATGTGGCATGGGAGAAAGGGACTTCACTTCAACTTTTTCACGGGTCTAATGAAATCTGGAAAGGCTCCTCCACAAGCACTTTGAAGATGCTTTGGTCCATTTGATCCCAATGACCATCTGGGTTTTATGTCCTCACTCACCTGAAAGAGGTGCTTTTGAGACTTCTCTCTCCAGCTCCTTTCCGCACTCCAAAGGAGAGATCGCATCGGGCTTGGAAATTGGAAGCCCTGCTCATGGGAAAAGAAAAATTAGTTTGGTCAAGAGTTCGGTGAGAGACAGCATAAGAGAAAGAAAGAGAGAGGCTGGTTTTGGATTTCTCCCTCAATGGTGCTTAAAAGAAGGGAGGAAGAGGATATGGGGTCTATCTGAGCAGAACAACTGAGTCTCTATTAAAAGAATAGCTCTCTCTATTAAAAGAATAAGCATCCATTTCTTAAGAGGTATCTTCACTAGAATTTCATCTCAACATCCTTGGTCATGGAGTAGAGAAGAAGGATGCTACCACCTAGGCAAATATAATCAAAAGGTGTCCACCTTTAACTGTGGGAGGGTTAAACGTATATCCAGAAACAAAAGTAGACATTGCCTGTCTCAGGACTTACACGACGATGAAGAATCCTTGAATCTAAGAACCTCAGAACTCCTAGGAACTAAGGAAGCAAAGAAACCACACTGGGTAAGTTCAAAGTGGAGGAGGGAGCTGTCCTTACCCAGCAAGACCAGATTCCTGTGCTTCTCAGGCACATCTCCCTGAGGAGGGTTCAGCTGCTTCCACTGGGTGAGAGCCTCGGCCATATCCCTGATTACCAATGACTCCTGAAAAAGCAAACACACCAGTGCTCACCAAGGGATCTTCCAGAAGCCTCTGAGAAGCACTCAGAGCAGAAAGAGAGGATGGACACGAGGGTTAGACAAAATGACGTCTAACATCCCTTCCAACAGTAAGATTCTCTGGTGTATCTGTAGCCACAGACTCACTCCTTGCCTCAATGTATCAGAATTGCATGTAACCGGAAAGAAGGAAGGAACCTTCATTGTAAAATCTGAAGGCACCAAGTCATTAGTTTATGCATTGGTAAATTAATTATAGAACTACAGACATCGTTACCATTTAGACATGGGAAAGTGGAGAAAATATAATTATGAGTTAACTATGTTCTTTGTGATATGGTTTTAAAATATAAGGGGTTCAAGAAATAGGAAATAGTTTTCTCTCTAATTCTCCTTTGAGAACACAATCAGTCCAATACGTATTAAAAATTAAGATGTTTGCTACACGTCACAGAATATGTATTTATTTGTAAAACAGTGTCTCAAGCCCAAAGTATGAAAGTTCCTAACGTGTTCTCACCATTTCTCATAGTGGCCCTGATCAATCTGATAGCCCCGTCCTTTGCTCCATCTACTTTCTAACCTATCTTACACGACTCCCCCCATGTTCCCTGTGTTCCAGTTGGTGGCTGCCTTTCAGCTGCTTGAAATGTGTGCCACGCTCCCTTTTACCCCTTTCTACATGCTGCTTCCTGTTCTTGAATGTTCTCCCCCATCTGATCCTTTCAGCTATTTAAAAAAAAATTTTTTTTAATGCTTATTTATTTTTGAGAGAGACAGAGAGACAGAGCGTGAGCAGGGGAGGTACACAGAGAGAGAGGGAGACACAGAATCCCCAGCAGGCTCCAGGCTCCGAGCTGTAAGCACAGAGCCTGACGTGGGGCCTTTCAGCTATTTTAATCCTACTCACACTTCAGATCTCAGCTCAGGTGTTACCTCCTCAGAGAAGCCTTCCCTGGGCTTGTAGGGTTGTAGCACCAAGTTCACTTCTCTTGGGTTTTGCACACACTGAGGGGAGTTTGTGATTAATGTCTGTCTCTCTCATTAGACAGTGAGCTCCATGAGAACAGAGGCTAACCGGGTCCAATTTTGCTCACTGAAGCAACCCTAGTTATCTGGCACAGCGCAGGAACACTAAGTATGTGTCAAACAGCTGAATGAAGGAAGGAACACAGGAAGTTTGCATGGGATGTTCTATAAAAGTGTGCATGGGAGGGGCACCTGGGTGGCTCGATTAAGCATCTGACTCTTGATTTCAACTCAGGTCATGATCTCACAGTTCATAAGTTTAAGCCCCACATCAGGCTCTGTGCTGATAGTGTGGAGCCTGCTTGGGATTCTCTGTCTCCCTCTCTCTCTCTGCCCCTCCCCCACTCACTCTCGCTCAAAAAAAAAATATGCGTGGGAACAGAGATGGAGAGGGGAACAGAACATATCATACATTGAAAACACTGCAGGAGGGCAAACCTAACCTTGATCTAGATGGCAGGCACACAGTTCAGACTGTCTACTAAAATGTAGGGAAAGGGAACAGAGTGGGTAATGGTCCTCTGAATCTATAGCTGAATCGATTTCCTGATAAGACAGATGTCTAATAATTTTTCTAATTCTACACGAAAAAAACTTTCTGTACAACTTGAACTGTGATACATTAAAACAGACCAGTCTCTGGGATGCTAGCAAATGAAACAGTCTTGTCTTGCTTTGAACCACCACTTTTGCCATAGCTCCCTGAGCACATAAATGAATATACTGGGTGATTTTGCTTGTAGTCAGCATTCTAACGTTTATGACACAGCCCTCTAAAACAACTGGTAAAATAATTCGCATAATAAAATAAAGTTAAAAGAACTACCTACTTGGAAAATCCCCTGCTCGAATTTCCCACATTTCATGACCTGAGCTAAAGTCTGAGGCTTCACAGACTGAGCCACCCAGTTGCCTCTATTTAAGTTTCTGGTCCATTAAGACCGTATGCCTCAGGAGTGATCACACAGCAATACAATTTTTATGGTCTTCTCTCTTTACAAACAATGCTAACAGTAACAGACTAACTGGCATTCCTTTTATTTTTTTAATTTTTTTTTCAACGTTTTTTATTTATTTT